ATGTATAAAGGATTCTTGTTTACGGATAGTGAATAGTCCTTTTCAACTTTTTTTGTCAAGTGTTGTTTCTTGATGAACTTTTACGGATAACTATTTTCAATCAAGGTATCACATATACAACAATCCTTAGTTCATCTCCAATTACCTCTTCTGAGCATTTTACTCTAACCCTGTGGCTGAGGGTCATGTCTTTGTTTCAAATCCTGTTGTCTTTGGACTCTAAATACTGTCGATCTGAGTCATATTATCACCATATCATCCCATATGAACCTTCTTTTGTCAGACCTACAGGTCAGAACATGTTATTAGAACATCAGAACATCACAAAGTCCTACAAACTTAACTTAGTATATGTGTGTACATAGAAATGTAACTTTTTTTTAAATGGCTGGAATTCATCGGTCAAGGTTTTGGACTAACTACCTCTCGAAGCTATAGAGTAAAATTAATTAATTGGTTATTTTTTCATTCTCCTACTATAAGTCGTAAACATCCTAGCATTGATTGTCTATACTATTTTCCCATATCTTGCTTCTTCTTCATGACTTGTGGTAGTTTTCTTTCATCCTTTTTGTCTTCTTTGCTTCTACCTAATCTTTTGATTGCCCACCCTTATTATATTGATTCTTGTGTTCTGTGTTGATGCGATGAAAACAAATGAATACATAACGACAGAAGACAAGGGCCAGGTAACAGATCGTTTATTGAGGAAATCAACAGATATTTATAGATTTTTATGTACATTATTATTCCTTATTGTTGGCCGAGAAACAACGTCTTCTGATTGGTTGTTTTCTCGAAGAAAAATTATTCTGTCATCTCTTTGTGGCCGTTTCTTAGAAAGCTAAGCCATATATGTGCGAATCGTATTTGCACACGTTAAGTCTTCTGTGATTGGTTGTTGTTGTGCTTGTTTTTTTCCCATGAACCCATTGACGTAAACTGTTGTCTATAATTTTGACTTGCAGCCAGCTCTCACCACATATATATACTCAAAAGAATTTCTGTCTCTCTCTTTCACACACACTCATACACGCACCGCTATACACTCTTAAATGTACAATATACACTAAAGTGTTTATATAATCTCACACTGCTTACAATTGAGTTGTTTATATTTTGTTCCTCACATATAGAGTAGTATTCACACTCAAAACTGCACTGGTGTGTTGATTTTGCTTTTTTTTATTCTTTTTTTATATTTTTCTGTTTTCACAAATCACTAATCCATATATTTCATGTTACCCTTTTTCCCTCTCTCACTCTGTCTTTATTTTATTCTAATTCTAGTTTTAACATGTAATATATATAACCATAGAATTCAGTGTGTTTCTTTTTTTTGGTAGATAAGGCTAAGTTGGTGTGGATAGGCTTTAACACTTTTATTAACGCTTACGTAATAATACAGCTTGACTAATAATATACTACTGTTGTTGAATACTTCTCATTCACTGTTCATTTATGGTTTTACCTAATCATTGTATTATTGCTTTGTGATGGTAAACACATTGTTGTATGCTTGTTTTCTATTTTTTTATTTTTTGTAGAAAAGACAGGAATGGAACTACCTTCAGTCGACCGGACAAATACACGAACAGTAATCATGACTTCCGATGTACATAGGCATAAAGCATCAACTATTACAACGGTTGTGCCGACACCACAATCACCACTATCGCCAATACCGCCAATACCACAGTCATTAACAATGTCAACATCTGTTAAAAGCAGTAATAATGATAACAATAAAACTCTCTCCTCATCTGTATTTGAATCAGATTATAATAATAATAATTATTATTATGGACAGAATAAAGGCGGAAAATTATGGAAACCACGTCGTCTACACTTTGTACTACGTCTTCCTATAATTGGTTCTGATCCTCATATTTTATTAATACAAATGATAGAATTATTTAAACGTTATCAATGCGCTTATACTTTTCTCAGTTCATATCGTTTACGTTGTACAAAATTAATAAATTCACATAATAATCCTAATGATAATTGTAATACTATTACTACTACTACTAATGATAATATTAATAATAATGAAAGTATTGATGAACAGGGCATACAACAACAACAACAACAGCAACAACAGTCTCAATGCAGTAAATCATCACAGTCATCGTCATCATCATCCAGTGTACTTAACTGGGATTTAGAGATATTTCAATTAGCCAAGCCAATTGTTTATGGTGTACGCTTTAAACGCATTTCAGGCAATCGTAATGCATTCAAATCAATGGTAAAATATTTTGTTCATCAAACTGAAAATATAACTTGATGTGTATCATCATCCTCGTCATCATCATCACCACCACCATCATCATCGTCGACGTTGGCGGCGGCGGCGGCGTCGTCATCGTCATCATCAGCATCAGCATATCTTGTTCACAATTCAAGATACAATCACAACTATTGTATGTTGTGTTTATAAATATTGTTCGCTTGTTTGTTTGTTTGTTTGTATGCGTGAGTGTGGAGGTGTGTGTGCGTGTGTGCACGTATGTACGTACGTGCGTACGTAGGTACCCAAATACAATCAAGTGTAGAGTTGACATACATTCTCACACATGCATACACGCTCTTCTCTTTTAAAATAGAATTCTTTATTTCAGCATCTTAGTGTCGTTATCTAATTCTTTTCGTGTTTTCTTTCTCCGCTTAAATTATGATCTCATTTCATTTGTGGTATTTATGGCGGAGAAGATATGCTCTCTCTTTCTCTCCCTCTCTCGTTCACTGTATTCAATCATTATAGATGCTAATAGTGTTTATGTTACATATACATATATGTACATTCTTTTCTTTTATGAGAATTTCAAATGCTTTCTTTTTACAGCGTTCTTTGTTTAAAATATAGATTTTAAATCATATCACGAATTAATATTATTTGTTTTTTCTTTCTTGCTATGCGTGTTAAATCACTGAGCATTACGTCACATATATAAATATTTGTATAATATTGTTTGTATTCATTGTAAGTTTGTTCTCTCCTCTGCCGCACTCACCCACCCACATTGTCCTCAACCCCACTGTACTCCCACCCAACCTACAAGTCATATTGTTTGATGTAAAAATGGTACTCCTGTCCGTTGTCTTTCCGTTGGCTTTTTTTTTCTTGCGTCTTCTTTTATCACATATCCATTATACTTTTATAATTAACAGGTCACTGTAACTCTGACAAATGTATCGACATATATATATATATATATATATATATATATATATGCTCCTCTGTATTGTATGGATCTCATGGTTTTCTTCATTCTCATCACCCCGGTCGTTTCTTTACTCCTCTTCTCTTCTCTACCTTATTTTACTTTTTGCTTGATGTGTGTTCCTTCTTTTCTTAAAAAAACCCCCAGCAAATTTCATGTCCGTGATTTATATGTGTGGATGTGTGTTTGTTCGTTCCTACAGAAGTGGTCATAGCAGTTGTTTATTTTTTGAACTATAACGAAGTGCATATTACTTACTGCATACACTGCATACGACATATTTGTCTTCCCCGCTTATGTTTTTTGCCACCAAATTTATCAAATTGAATAATTTAAACAATCATCGGTCTTAACTTACTTGGTTATTATTATTACTGTTAATATTATTATTATTAATTAATTAATCAATTGAAAGTTAGGATTGTAATTTGTAACATAATTAGTACTTATTACATATTACTTGCACATGTTTTAAACATACAAATCGATTCCTACTACTTTTATTCATCTTAAGTTGTCTGCTTGAGTTAATAATATTCTATGAATGAATGTTAATTTTTAATGAAATTTCTTAGACTGTTAGAATGAATAATTATAGTTCTTACTGCTATCATGTTATAATGTGTTGTATGCATCTGTCCCTCTGTCTGTCTATCTCTCTATCTGTCTGTCTGTCTATCTATCGATGTATATTTTGTCTTTTTTTGTGTCTTCAATTGAATTGTCTTCGTTCCTTCCAATTTTTTTTGCGTTGTTGTCTATAGGTACTTGTGATTATTGAAATTGCTCATATATTGTTATTATTATTATGCAATCGGTATTTTATTGTTTGCATCGACTAACCCACTCAGTTACTAACTAACTAGCTGACTCGTAGAATTATACACACACACACACACACAGACATGCGAATTTGTGTCTACACTTATGTGATTGTGATGTGCGCGATATGCTTTGTTTATGGATTATTAATAAAAATGCTGTTTTGTTTTGTTGGTGGTTATCTATATATGTATGTATGTATATGGTATATTAGATTTACGCCTACTTTACCTCCTCTGTTGTTAACTCATCCTTTGAGAGTTTGTGATTGCTTCTGTGTGTATTTATAATACATTATAATTGATGTTAGGTGCAAAAACATACACACTCACATCCACACCCACACATGCATACTTATATGAATTTGTTAGCTAATATCATTCAAGTATCTTTTTAATAATTCTAATAATAATAACAATAAAAATAATATAGAATTCCTTATTATTGTTTCACAATTCTGATTATCATCAACTTTCAAATAAAGTGATATAAGAAAAAAAATAATGCCTTTTTTCTAAATATTACTGGAAATATTATCTCTTAGGTAATTGATGGGAACTAGCTTAACGCTAACTGACTTCAGCGACTTTAGGGATTGCCTTACGATCTATCAGAGATGATATAGTCCTCCTAGATGAAGATGCTGACATGTTGCAGTCTTCTGAACACTTTGAACAGCAGTCTTTAAATGTTCGGCAGGTAATTCTCCCCTACTGTGAAATGTAAGTTGATGAGGCTACAGGGTTGGACTGCATCAACTCCGTAGTTTAAAGATAAGCAGTGAAGTAGTAGAACGTGTTGATCGATTCACTTATTTTGTGGGAATTTGCATCAGTCAGTCCGAACGGATACAGAAGGCTCATTTGGCGTTTGACAACCTAAATCATTTCTGGCGTAGATGTGTTATCCAGTTGGTTGTCGACCGAAGTACGTGTGTGTATACACTTCCCAGTAGTTCTCACTATCCTCCTTTATGGCTGGCTGTCAGTAAGACACAGATGGCTATTGAAAGTGGAAGACATGAGAAGCTTGGCTAGCCGTCTTTGATCATAGATTTCTGCGTTCTATCATCCGTGTTAGATGGTGGTATAATCGGGTGGGTAATATTGAAGTTAGGCTTCGGTCGAGTGTTAGGTGAGGAGGGTAAATCAATGGACGAGGTTGTGAAGCAGCTGCATCCATTGAGTGAAATGGTTAGGACATCTGTTACTCATGCATGTCTAGTCATCGATCGCCTTCCTCAACGACGGGCAGTGTTATCTGACTAACATAGGATCGATGAGGTCGGGAAAGAGCTGCCAGCGGTGGTCAAATAAAAACATAACTTCATCAGTCAATGATATCCATTAGAGTTAATGTGAACTCGTCATGTATAGAGGTGTAGACTTCCTGATTGGCTGGCTGGTTTTGGTCCTCCTGATGGTAAGAACCTATGGCGGTTGGAGAAAGACAATTGGTGATGTGGCTGAAAATGTATTCACCACTCTTTATGATTTGTCATATTCGGTGAAACTCTACTATTTTTCATATCAGTTTTGTTTTTCCCTCACTTACACTTGTGTTTACTCTCTCTTTTGAACCTCCCTTTGCTCTCTTCTGTTGCATTGTGTGGTACAAGGAGAGAGTGTAGCAAGTTGAACTGCTGTACATCTGTGCGAAATACTTCTATGCTGAAACCAGTCAGTCAGAGATCGAGCAAATATTCAGTTGTAACCAATTACGATCAAGGTTTCCAGGAGTAAAGATTTCTCATAAACTCGCGGTGATTTCTGAAAGTTCACTTCAAGTTGAAGTATGCACTGAAAGTGTTGTCTGGACAAATAGTGAAACCTTTGCAACTAAACCATTCATCCATCCGATATAATTGGTGTTACTTAGGTGTGAAATTACTCCAAAATGTCGCATTTGTGGAACAATTAAAGATTGAAATATTATCTATAAGGTGTTGAACTGTTCAATATCTCTTGGAAAATAAACGAACTTGCAGTCTAAGAATTTCTATATCCTGACAAATTGAAATAGATCCTTCGCCTAATACTTACTCTTGCTATACTAGAGCTCCAGTGGTTTAGCGGTAGAACGCTCGCTAACTACGCCTGTGGTCCTGTTTCCAATCCTCGGTTGACTCGCTCCTAGACCTCGCCAGAGCGGTAGTAAGGTCGGCAAAGAGGGAAAGTTGGGCGTTTGGCTAGTAACCCCACCCGGTAAAAATAAAAATCCCGCTGCTATCGAAACTCCAAAGCTCTAGCTAGAAGTCCTATGCTAGAACAAGAGAAAGACAAAAAGTAATACTGTAACGGTAGAAGACGAATCCCTTGGCAAAGGAATGTTTAGTTGCAATTTGATACCTTTGTATAGCCAAATTATGTACACCCTATCTTCAACGCACTATTTCCACAGATCTTCCGTGTTTTGCTACATCTGATCTTCATATTGTGTTTCTTTGTGTTCCTTTCATGACTCCCATATATCGCTGCAAGGCTGTATCATTTTCTCTCCCTCTCTCTCTGACCGCTTCAGTTACTTGGGAAGTACCATCAGCACCAACGGGTTGATCTCTGACGAAATCTCAGCACGAATACAGAGGGCTAGTATCGCATATGCCAGTTTACGCCGAGTCTGGCGTAGACGCGATATCCGACTATCGACCAAAGGGCGTGTGTACTGCTCAACAGTCCGCTACGTCCTCCTTTATGACTAGCTGTGAGACCTGGCCATTGAGAGCAGAAGACATGAAAAGATTAGCTGTCTTCGATCATAGGTGTCCGCGTTCTATCTCCCGTGTGAAGTGGTATAATAAGGTGAGCAATATTGAGTTTAGGCGGTAAGGCGGTGAAATCAGTCGACGAGGCTGTGAAATTACATCGACTGAGATGGTTAGGACATGTGTTACGTGTATGCCTAGTCATCGATCGCCTTCCTCGACGGGCAATGTTAGGTGATATAGGGTCAGGCTGGAAAAGAGCTGGCGGCGGTCAAACGAAAACATGGCACCAGTCATTGAAATCCGCAACCGTGAGTCCAAGCCACGTAGGAAGGTGTAGACTTCCTGGTTGGCGTCCTCGGGACGGTAAAAACCAAGGGTTGGAAACAATTGGTGACATGGCTCAAAATCGTTCTCAATGGCTGGCGCAGATGCATCCACTCTTTATGACATATGATTTCCAATTAAACTGTTTTGTTCTTCGTTATTACTATTCCTTTGTTTCACACCTCTGTTTGCTGTCTATATTATGCATTTCTCCTACTTTCTTCTCTTGCTTTGTGTGCTACTTGGAGTGTGGCGACTTGAACTGCCGCACATATGTGCAAAGTTCTATTTCGAAAACCGACCGACAGAAATCTATCTCCCTGCTATTTGATGTTTTTATGCCGATGAACATCTCTTCATACCATATATATGCTACTGATAAATCTTACCAGTAGCATACGCCACTATATGATTGGAAACTGTATTTTAAGGTTAGGTGTAGTATGTTCAATTGTGATTTTTTGTGCTCAACAATGAGTTTTATCTCTCTCTCCTTAGGAATAAAAGCAAGAATATGATGAAATTAACAAGAGGAGTTGTAACAAAAGCAAAACGGTAACATATTCACTTCAGGTGATAATATTTT